CTTAAGTAAAGTATTTAAAATCCTCATTAAAGGAAAATTATTAAGTTACTGTGAACATAAAAATATTTTGACGCCAGCGCAATACGGCTTTAGAAAAAATATGTCGACAACCAAAGCATTACTAGATTTAATTGAATATGCAGTTAAAGGTCTGGACGAGCCAAAGTACTGATGTTACTTTTTGTGATCTTAGCAAAGCGTTTTAACGTGTAGATTCCGAAATGCTAGTTAAAAAACTTGAATTTTATGGTATAAGATCTAAAGAATTGCGTCTATTTCAGTCTTATCTGTCAAACAGAAAACAATATGTTCACTATGATGATGTTTTTTTTTAATTTGGTGTCATCGGCGTCGACTACTACGGCCATTAGCCTCGTGTTCTGTGTAGGCTTTGTTACTGTTTCCCAGCGCAACTTAAGGAACAGCACTGTTAATTAGAACCCAACAGTGAATGGTCGAGTGGGGAATCCTACCTATGCATTAGAATTAATATTTAATTTTTTTAATTAAATAAAAATCCCTGACACAGGTGGGATTCGATCCTGAGACCTTCCGATCTCAAAGTCATGACTCTAACCACTGAGCCAACCCACCCCCCTACTATGATGATGTTAATTCTAATATCGTCTCTATAGAAAATGGCGTTCCACAGGGCTTAGTTCTGGGCCCTGTGCTATTTCTCCTCTATATTAATGACTTGCCAGTCGCAGTAAACATTCTAAATGTTTTCTGTTTGCAGATGATCCATCTATTTTGTCACGGGATAACATATTGGAAAATAGAGAAGATATGGACCTCAGTAAAAGAGTGATTCTCTACAAATAATCTAAAGCTTAACGAAGCTAAAAACCAAAATTTTATTATCAGCCCAAGTAAGTTGACTGAGAAATCAGATCCAGTCATATACCTAGGTATAACTCTTGATAATTATCTGAATTGGCAACCTCATGTGTCTTCCTTGTGTTCGAAATTAGCGTCCCAGATATTTGCCCTTTAACAGTTAAGACCTTCCTTATCTAACCACATTTTGAGAATTGTAAAATTTGCAATTGTACACTCCCATCTTAACTATGGCATAATTCTTTGGGATAACTCATCAGGAGCCCAAGCCGTTGTGGCAGGCTCCTGGTTCACCTACAGTGAATCAACGAGTCTGTGTGGCGCTATGAATGTAATTCCCGAATAGGGGTTGCTCAGGCGCCAGTTTTGGTATCGCAGTTTACTCTGCGACCCTGTGGTACACCAGAGTGTACTCAAGGTAAACTCAGTGGAGGTAAAAATAATTCCAGGCGGTCACTGCTAGGTAGCCACTATACTAGAATAAATAAAAATAAAACATTTATCTTCTTTACACCTCGTACCCTACGGTACCCTGAAAGATAACGGTTAAGAACCAGCAATAAGAGAAACACAGGAACAGGTAATAAAATACATATTTATATTCGGAAAATTTAATAAATAAATTATTAAAGTTGAACATTATTTAAATATTGACGGATCCCTATATTCGGGAAATTTAATAAAAATAAATTAATATTATTGAAAATTATTTAAACATTTAAATATTTACGGTTTATTAGCTCAGGAGTCTAATCGGACTGGGAATCGTGAAATGCCCAGTATGCGGAAAATGTATGAAAATAAATTATTATTATTAAAAACAATTTAAATATGACGGCAATCAAATGCAAACAAATAAAAAGTGCACTCAAAATTGTCCCCTTGTATCTTAATACCCAAGCGATGGAAACGCGAAATTATCGCCTATTGATAAATAAGGTTTATTACACGGTGTTTTGGACGGTGACCACGATGGTCGTAGAAAATAATATTTTTGAATTTTGCCCAGAGAGCGTATGTGTGAATTTAATTTTGCAGAAGCTGTCTGACTTCATTCAATAACTAATCGTGGACAGGAGAAACGGAATGATTCAAATACAATTGATTGAATAAATAAAAGAAAATAAATTTTACACGAAGGCGGAAATTAGTTTAAACGTTGTTTTTTCTTTTTGGGAAGTTAGATACGTCGTCAGAAGAGAGCACTCTAAGCCGAGGATAGATCGAACCTCCGAAAAAAAATAAAACAATAAATAATAAAAAAATTGAAACAGGTCGAACCTCTCACTTCGATGTTAACTGGGCGGTTTTTAAAGGAAATTGGATGTAGTCATTGACTGAGAGAGCACTCAGAGTCTAGTCTATATCCAACCTCGAATAAAAAAATTGCCAACGGCTTCCCACTGAAGGATGAAATAATAAATCCTGGGTATGAATTAAAATTCTTGATTTGTCACACGGGTGTCCCAACTAATTATAAATTAAAAAAATAAGCGGTTACCTACCTTTAGAAAAATAAACGGGGTTGATCGATGAACTAAATCACGGTACACGGCACTAGGTACTAACTAAGGGTGAATAGTTTTCGGCTGTCGGCAATCACGAGAGAAGAGCTTACGGCGGCTGTCAAGCGAGGAGAGGGTTAATTCCTAGATGGGATTTAATTTATGCTTTTTCGGTAAAGCAAGATGGAAGATCAGTAAGCCCGAGTGGGAGGATACCACCACCACAGCTGACTGTTTACAATTCAGAAATACAAAAAATGTCCTTCTAGTCCTTGACAAATAAATGTAGATAATCGGTACCAAATCGACTCTAAAAATGCCCATTCGGATTTCGGCAAATATAAGAATATTTTAATCTACAAGGGTACTCGCAATTGTTGAAAAACGGTAATTCCTGGGAAACAGAAATACGGGGGAACTTCTACATGTTCTCAGGCGGGAATTAATTGAAATATACATTTTTAAGATGAATTAAAAATAAAATTTAGTGACTTCGTCACACCGTATTTAAAATTAAAAAATCATCCATAAGGATTATAGATAGTACAAATTGGGATGCGCATTGCAATTAATTAGTTCCACATTTTTCTAAGATTCAAACAACTAAACAAAATAAATTGGATGTAAGTTTTTACAATAAAATAATTAAAATATACAGTAGTGAGGACCTCAAGAATATACCTACAAATAGGTTTAGACAGAAAGTGAATTTTTTTTATTGAAAAACTGTTTTTACTCCATTGAGGAATTTATACAATATAACTGATAAATTTTACGAATTTTAAATTGTGATTTTAAAGCTGTAGGCATTATTTTGTTATTTTAATTTTGTAATTATAATTTTGTAGCTATATGTTGTTTTAATTTTGTAAATGTAATTTTGTGGTTACAATAACGTAAATAAATTTATAGTTTTAAGTTTTTATATTTCAATAATAAATTTTCTTAATTTTGCTTATAAGTATCTCTGCTAGATGAAGTACTTGGCTAGTCTTTTGTTTCCATGTAAGAAGAGAACATACATATCTGTGGATATACTTGGAATATCTAAAAGTTACAAGGCTCCAGATTGCTGAGATTTGTTTTAAGTAAAGATTCATTTTTAACATTCAAGTGGGAACAGCAGTTTTTTTAAACTACAATAGAATATTTTTAAAATAAAATTTTAATGAAATTTAGAATATTATTACCTAGAAGTTAATTTTGAAGATCTCTTTCGTAATCATTTGGAGTAAAATGTAGCGAGCATATTGCTGCAGTCACTGGATTAAATATTTCATTTAGTTTACAACGATTTATCCATTCTTTTTTAATCATATTTGAAACTAAATCATTTGTTTTCGGGAAAGAATGAAACATTTGTACACCTTCTTTCATAAGAGTTGCAAGAAGCAACAGCACAAATCTGCCCAGGCATTGCTATTTAAAACAACAAACAATGATTTAGAACATATTTTTCTGTCTTTATGAGAAAACTTGCCAAATTTATTCAAATATTTTAGATAAAAATTAGTAGGAAAAATGTCAATACTAATCACAAAAATAAATTTAGTTTTCTAACTCAAAAAACTGTTAAAAAGCACAAAATATTAATTATTCGATGTTTTTATAAGCTCATTCACCACAAAAACAAATATATAATCTCAAAAGTACAACGTAAACATAATACTTTCTATAGTGACAAACCAAATTCTGTATCTGTACTGACGCCTACGTCATCAACCGCACGGATTAAAACGCAATGTGGTTTCTTATGAAACTAGTGTATCCTGTAGTATATAAGGTGAGTTCGGTCTACGCACTCTTTTCATTTCACTATAGGTTTGTTCGGGTTTCCTTAAAACTCGATGCAAACCGTCCGAGAACTAGTGGAACAGTTCATTTCTAAAGTATACGTCACACACAACTATTAAACTGTCCACTGGTCAACTAGTCCTCTGATAGTTTTCAATGTATTTTAAAGAACCCGAACAGACCTTATATTCACTCCTAAAGTACCCACGGCGTTCGGGTACGGAAGGAGTTAAAATAAAAGTTCCTCTTTGACCGTTCGGAGATCGTGGAGTGGAGTGTGGATCGGGCATGCGCAAAAGGTGATTTAAATCGATAATAAGATAATTGTGACTAATTCTTAAGTAAAAATGCTTTTTATTTGGTGTATACCATTAATATGGAAGAAACATATACGGTTGTTACTGATAAGTACGATTAGGTTTTAAGTATTAGTATGTCACATTGACAACTGGCATTGAACTCTGAGAGTGAAGGAGTAAAACCATATGCGCACTCCGTTTATGCCTACTTACTCCACCCCACTCTGGAGTGCGCAGCCCGAACTCATCTATAGTCGTTGGGTTGATTGCACACCAACAACTTTTTGAATTTTTTATTCTACTACCCTGTATAGGTGTACAAAAATTTGTACAGTAAATTTAACCATTGTTTTTATCATAGCTACACTATTTGTTTCCAGCATTAAAACATGTCAAAAGGAAGTAATTTTGATAAATTTAGGCTTAATTTGTAAGAGTTATCAAACAAGATAAGTTTTTTATTAAAATTGATGGCTGTTTCTTAAAAAAATGTAGAAATTCGAAGTGGTTCATCATTAAATTTTTACTTTATAGATATCTAATCATGTTTTTTTGTTTTTAGTTGGGGATCAGGAGCTAACCCTTGGGGTCCAGAAAAGGACGATCAGTTCTCGAAACCAAATCACTGGGATGGGATGCTAGAAGTCGTAGGTGTAACAGGAGTGGTTCATCTTGGTCAAATTCAATCTGGTTTACGTACAGCTATGAGAATCGCTCAGGTATATTTAATATATTGGTTATTTCTATTTTTTTCTACATTTGATATATCTTCCAGTTTCCCGGATACAAGTGATTATAATATCTAATAATCAGTTAGACTTAATACCCATTTGTAACAATAGAGCGAATAATGTCTTTAGCTACAGTTGCAATTTTAAGGGATTAAGGCAGTACTGTCACCAGCCAAAAGATCCTGGAGGAACATCCATTCACCATTGGCAAAAAAATTAATTTAAAAAAAATAAAATTATCCCTTAATAGCGTAGTCGAGTGGCTTTGGCAACTAGTTATAGACTCTTCTAGTCCTTAGGGGTAGAAACGCCGAGGCTTGACAAATGCTCGGAATATTTCATAACTGGTTTTGGAAGGGGAGGAGAGAATAATAATGTATTGTAATTACCTACTGTTTATTATTATTTATGCATTACGATACTTTTATCCATGCAATAAGGCCGTTGGCCTGTTTGGATATAAATAAATAAATATGTAGCGATACAACAAAACTTTAAAAAAATTAAAAACGTTTAATATAAAAACGGTATAAGTGCATCAGTAAATGAAAAATCAATAATAACCTTTTTTTTCTTATTTTAGGGAGGGCACATTAAAATCCATCTAAATTCAGATATCCCCGTACAAGTTGATGGAGAACCTTGGGTACAAAGTCCCTGTGACGTCGTAGTGCTCAAATCTGCTCTCAAGGTATGATTTAGTATTCATTTTATACGTACACGTACCTTGTATTGCTAACATTAATATCGTAGTAGATTGTAGATTTTTATTTTCAATCGATCAGTACATTTGACACTTCATTACTAATACTTTCGTTGCATTAACCATTCAAATTAATGATCATTTACCTATGACGTCAGGAAGAAAAACAATGTATTGATCTCTTATTCCTTTGCTTTTTCTTGCTTGGGTACATTTTAATTTATGGCTGAAATAATAAAAGTACATTATACTAATTTAAATAATTGTCAATGGGTTTTTTATTTCTGACAATTGACATGTTTTCACAAAGTTATAATAATTTAAGCATGATGGCAAGATGATCCCTTCGGTACTCTTGTTGGAGTGAATAGTAAATGACGTTCATATGTATCCGCGATTCAAGCTAAGCGATACTGATACATTGGTATATATACTGGGCTGATACTACTGGAGGATATTTGTAAAAGGTATCAGAAAGTGGACTTTTTCCAGTGTTGACAACAATAGCAAAATTCCGCTATGTCAGCGGATTTTTATTCATTCTAGCAGTGGAAAGACCTTCTTTAAGTAGCAACATTTGTGTCTACCAATATGTAATCATGCTCTATATTTATTTAAGGATTTTTTCAAACCGATTTAATTATATTGATTTTTTCTTTAAATATCATTTCGTTTATATATTTTTTTAATTAGTTCATCAGTTGGCAACATTGTCGTGGTGGTCAGTGTTTTTAGATTAACCAATTCGTACTTTTTCTTATTTGTAAGCATTAAATTTGTTTATAGTCTGTGATAGTGTTTATATTAAAAATGAAAGTTGCGAAAAAGCAACCAGCAAATTGCAATCAATATTGTGTTAAAAGTTGCATGTCAAAATCAAAACGGATGTTTTCATTATTTTGCAAGCGTAAATCCTAAAATTTTGTTTCTTGCGATTAATTTATATCTACAAATTCACATTATTGAGATTTTGCAACATTTTGTCTAGAATCAAACTGCATTTTGCATTTTGCATTATGACAGTTTTATTTCGGTTTACATATTTATAAAGTGTCACAATGATTACTTCAGGAGTGCGTTTAGAAACCCCGCACGACGCGTCTGAGCCCTATTCTAATGCATGTGGTCAGACGCGCCGTGCGGGGTTTCTAAACGCACTCCTGAATATAAGGGTACTTAGATTTTTAATAGGTACTCAAAATTTCCTTTAAACCACATAATGAAAGATGTCCTGCGTTTAGTAAACAAATATTTCTAGATATTTTTTGTAGCATCCAGATAGGTGAAGATTTTCAACAAATTAGTCTTAAAAACAAGATAAATATTATATATATGACGAAAGCACGGAAACTAAACTTAAATTAACACTAAATGAAAATCAAAAACACTATTTCAATGACAATAATATCTAAAAACTGTTAAAAAATATGAAAGCAACTCTAAAACTGTAAGTAATCAATTATCCTCCAAATAGGTGGCAAATGACAGGCGTGCAAAAATTAATTTTAATTGCGAACGTGATTGCGAATAAGATCGAAAAGGATGTAGTATCGACGTTGCCAGTTGGCAACGCATGCCGACCGGTCTCTGATACTGCGTCGTTTCTTTTCATACATATGCGAGCACTATTTACTATTCACTCTCACACAAATAGAGCAGGACCAAATTTTTGATCTTGCCAGCGTTTAGTTTATAGTCTCTAACTACTCACCCTACATATTTAATAGAAAAATTTCAAGAAAAGCCACTTTGGTAATCTTTTAGTTTATGAGCATTGTAATGCGCATGTCCACACCACACCGACTGGAATGATTAAAATCGTTACATAGTTGCCAGATTATATATTAATATTTCAATTTTATAAAGAAGCCAATTTGAGTTGATCAAAGATGCTGTCAAACAAAAACAAAATGAATTCTTACGTCGCCGCAGATTGCGCATGCGCGGGCATTGTATTTACTCGAATAACGAAGTATAATTTCTAGGGCAAGATAATTTTTTATTAATGAATATATTCGCCAAAGGGTGTTTAACAAATCTGCCGAAGTTACTAGCCCTTAAAATGTTTATATTATTTTGTATTTTTTTCGTGAAACACAGATTTTCCTTGCTTTAAAAAATAAAAGATAAAATAATTAATGAAGAAGTATGCTGACTCATGTGCAACACAGCGACGTAAACTTCAGGATTGCCGAAAAAAAACAAATGTAATTAAGATTTTATATTATATACTATATTTCATATTAGGTATTAGGTATACCACACATTGTCTAAAATTTCATTGTAAGCCACAATAAAGAAGAGCTTTCTCTGGTCGACCTTTACCACCCATTTTTATTTTGACTAAAAAATCGAAAATAAATAACCACACAACAAATAATACTTCAAGTTTACGACAATACAGTAATCGCCAGATCTAAAGAACCAGCGCAAATGTTCAAGTTCGTTTACTTAAAAATCGCCACGCCCATTCACAATTTGAACCTTGTCCTTGCTTACGGTCAGTAGCGTAACGACTAGATCATTGTTTGTTTCTTGTTTCTGTGTTTTGGTTAAAGTGACTGGTTTTATTTTTGATAATGTCTTCTATTGTGAGTGAAAAAAAGCGCAGATATGTTATTAACGGACAAAGTCGTGAAGTAATATACAATGTTTTTAAATATTTTGACGCAACAAAAAAGGAAGGAGTTACTTTAGATTATATCAAACTTCAAACTGCACAAGCAACAGGTAAACATACTCTGTAGTTTATTTGCAATTAAACTTGCGTAGTTTTCCATATTTTTTTGTATTTTACATACATATCTATGCATTTTATTCTTGATTAATATTTTATATTTAAATTTATCTTCTGTTTCTAAAAATTTTTATTTTCTAATAAATCAACCGCTACGAATCTCCCTGAATATCAATTGAGGGACATTCGAAGAATAATTTACGATTTTCATGTAACAGAAAAGTGTTGTGTTACTGTTAAAAGGTTAAATAATAAAATTAAGGATGATTTAGATATCCACATATCAGAAACTTCATTAAGAAGAGTCCTTAAAAAATTACAATTTAAATGGAGAAAAACACAAAATAATCGTAAAGCTTTGGTGGAAAAAATGAAAATAGGAACTTTAAGAGTAAAATATTTGAGATAGATAAAATATTTTAGAAGTCAAAATACACATATTATTTCATATTTTGTTTATAAAAAAATAAATGTCAGTTAAAATACAAAATACTAGACCACCAGAGCTCTCCTTAAGGCTGTTTTCGCGATACACTATTTTAGCTCTTACCTCATATCTTGCTTATTTATGATCGGAACCAATCATGGTAGATTTTCACACTTTTATTTAAAAAAATAAAAATTAAAAATTGCCCGACAATTGTTTCTAAGTACAACTTTTTCTTTAAATGTGACTCATTTACATTTCTAATATGTATACAAAATAAATTAATTAGTTAAAGTAGGTACTTAAGAGAAATATATTAATAACATTCCAATAAGGTATCATTACAGGGATTATCTCACAGAAAACTAAGAACAGGTAAAGAGATTTAATTAAGCTCTGTTATTAATATCTAATTGATCACTTAAGAGGATATTTTAATTTTTAAATCTATTTAATTGAGGTGTTTCTAAATGGTTTAATTTAATGCCTTTATTCTCAAAATGTGAAACAATTTTTGCATAAACGATTGATTTTCAGATAAAAATATGTTTTGTAGAATTATTTTTGTTTTTAGTATTGTAATGTTTTAAATAGCTTTTTTTTTTGAAAGTACGGCCCGTTTGTCCAATATACAATTTTACCACAATTTAATTTATTTGAATAAGGATAATTTCCTGACCGTTACAGAATTTTATATAAATACCGAACGGAAAGCGGTAGAACAGCCTTAACCTAAAGTCGGCTTACTTAAAAATAATGATTTTTTTAATTGACTATAGAATTATGTACTAATAATAACACTAAGCAATATGTATGAACAAGTATAATAATAATAATAATACTCTCCCTTATTCACCCCCTTACGAGTGAATTTCAACCCCTTTATTCGACTGAACGACTTGTGTAGGGGAAGGGACGGCTATTATTATTATTTGCCGTGGCGATCCGGGGCGACTTAAAGATGATTGATGGTGCCATTTGACTTACAGGTGAGGAAAACCCGGAAAACCTCACCCACCATCATGAAACCTCACCCACCATCATCATCATCATTCACTATTTTCCATTTATTTTATGTCTTAAAATATACGCGCCCCTGGTTTACAACTTTCTAGGTAAGCTACCAATTCTATTCATCGGTAGGCGTGTTCATAGCATTATAAATGCGCGTCTTTGGTTCTTTAGATTTGACGTTTACTGTAACAAACGGAAAAACAAAACGGTAAAACAAGAATGGCAACGTGGCAGGTGTAAAATTCAAATTCTAGACGTCCAGTGCAGAGTGGAGAGAGGTGTACATGCGCATTACAAGCCTCCTAAAGTACAAGATTACTCTAACTTAAATTTATAAGACTTCAAAATGCCTTATTTCGCTTAATCATGACCTTCAAAATCATTTGTTTTTTTAATAGAAGCATATATATACTTTTAAATGCACAATAAGAAATAATAGTTAAACCTGTGTTTCCCAAAGTGTCGGTCGCAATGGGGGTTCATACTAGGGGGTCACCGGAAATTTGCAAAATAAGACAAAGACACCACTTTGTTAAATCATGTATTTTTATTTTAATAACGTCGTAATTAAAAACTAACAATTAATTATCAAACGAAACATAAAACTAAAACGACCGAATGAACCAAGAAAATTTTTATTTATATAAAACTAAATATTAATAAATTCATAAAAATAAAACAGGAAATTAAAGTCAAATATTATAATGGTAATGAGACCCATGCGCCTGTTTTTTTTTAAACTAATCTTTCAAATTTAGGCTGTGTATTTGAGACACACACAATTATATCGTTTTCAAGTATGAGACGAGTTTTCACTTTCGTTTTAATGGCAGTCATGGACGAGAAACTTAACTTGCATAAATATGATTCGCCACCTGAGGGTATTCCTGAATCCTTTTGGACCAAAATTCGTCCGGGTTCTGGGAAAAAAATTGGAGTTTCAACATTCCATCACTAGATATTTCAATAAGTTTTTCTATCCTGTTTATTGGTATTTCAACATGTTGAAAGGAATCGGATAAAAACGTATTCAGTACCCATCTGCAACTGTCGAAACTGTTTTGAATTTCTTCACGGAAATAATCACAGAGCTGTTGTTTTAAATTGAGCAAAGTAACTTGCGTGCCTGCAAAAACTTGTTCAAAATTTGTAGCATTGTAACTGAATACATCTTCCATAATTTCCTGAAAGCACTGGAATGGGTTGAGCTGCTTTTTGCCAAGTCGACCATAAATCGATTTTTTTAGAAACTCCTTAATTTTATCTGTGGCTGTAATTATATTAATGTCACGACCTTGCAAATTACTGTTCAAAATATTTAATTGTTCGAAATATCAGCAAAGAAACCTAGTTTGAGAAGCCAAATAGGATCGGAAAATTGATTTTTATGTGCTGATTTTTCATCTTTCAAATACATTAAAAGCGAAAGACATTGCCCCTTGGAAGTTACCTTACTTGGGTATAAAGATTTTCAAATAAAGCACCCATGCCTTCGCAGATTTTTCGAAAAATGCGGGTCTGCAAGGCTCTTCCTTTAATGGAATTTACAACTTTAATGCTGGTTTTGATAACAGGAGGTAAATCTTTTGACTCAAGAGCTTCTCGATCTAAAAAACAATGGCTCCATGTGGCATTAGGCATTATTTTTTGTAATATGCAATACATTTTCCCCAGTCAATATCACATTTATCTGTGTGTTTCACAAATGTGTCGAATAAACATTTTCCAGTTGTATTGGTCTCCAATGGGGAACAAAATAAAATATATTCTTGGATGCCATTATTTGTATCATATGTTACAAACGTAATAAATTGGATACAGTTAGATATGTCTGTGGATTCGTGCATTTATTTATTAAGATTTTCCACAACTTGCGCTTGAATATCTTCTGCCATACCACTAATTCTTCTTTGAATAGTATTATTTGACAGAGGTATTGTTTTTAACTTATGTCTCTATTTCACCAAACATTATATGCACCATTTCAATGGCTGCTGGCAAAATCAGATTTTCAGCAATTGTGTGCGGGTTAGTAGTTTTGGCAACGCGATAAGCAACTTGCTAATAATGCTTTTTCAGTAGTAGTGGTTGATAATGAACAAGAATCTTGCTTTTTATGTAGGACGTTCAGCTTTCTTTCCGAAAATTCTATACGGATTTTTTTTATTTGGATGTTTGTTATTTAAATGTCGAAGTCACTTTGATGTCCTCATGCTTTCTTGTGACTAGACTTCTCCACAAATAATAAATTGTAGTTTATTGAAAATAACGGTAACACCATATTTAAGATATTCATCAGTGTAAATTCCATTTTTCTTTTTATTACTGCCACTTTCAGACGTAGATGGTTCTGATCTTCTTTTTAAAAACGTATCCATAATTTGTAATTTATCGTAGACGTTATACATAAACGGGAATACGTAAGTCGCAAAATGTTTACTCTATACTGCATTCGCCACAACGCTCTATTGGTTTGTGCTGTTGGGAACTGAGGTCTCACACACACAGTAATTGAGCCCAAGTCGGGAAGGTTCCCATCCTGTTAAACTGGATCGGAATCCTCCTGACGACCACCACCCCCCCTGACTGCTTGGTTTCAGGGGGCCTCAATTTCCATCCTATGATTAGTATGTCATTCCTTCGTCCCCAGGTGGTTAGTCGTCAGTTGCTCAGTCCTTGTCTGAATCGCGTGATGCGCTCTGTCTGGTATTCTGAAAGAGAATGCTGGAAGAGAACGCTGAAAGAAAATCCTAAATGAGACTCTTGAATTTTGCACCCAAGGTCAATCACTCGCCGCCATAGTCCAGCATCTTGCGTGGTCTGGCGTGTCTTCTGTAATCCGCTATTTCGTACTCTGTGAGTTCTCTTATCTCGATGTTAACTGAGATCGTGAGGTCTCGTTGCACATCGCCGCTTATATAAAGCCAAAATGAGGTTCAGAGTGCCATCTAGTAGTAGAGTAAGCAGTAACGCTTTCGCAAATATCATGGAAAAGTATTGCGATATAGGCATAAACAAATATATCACGGTGTACAATGTTTAGTCAACTTTTTTTATTTATTTTTATTGTAAATTGCTAGTCTGGCAGAAGTACTACTATAGTTACTAGTGGGACAGATCGCAATTATTAAAATAATTGTTAAATTTTTTTAATGTATTTAATTTAAAATTAAACAGTAAAGTAAAATAAAATTAGGCACGCTATTTTTGTCTCTATTTTGGTTTGGATGATGAATAGGGGGAAATAGAAGGACGAGAACAATTTTTTTGACAACAACGGGGTCGCATTTTATATAATTTGGGAAACACTAGTTAGTCTAAACTATTTTTTTACTTACTTTCCATAAGTTAATCGTATGGAGCTTGTATGCAGACTGATGGCGCACAGATTGAGCATTTGTCATTTGTTAAAATAATGATTTGTATTTACCTTATTAGTTATTTATATTTGTCTTTTGCATATCCATTTTCAATATCTAAAGTAAATCTTGTTATTATTTCAAAACCTAGAGAAAGAGGAAAAAATGACAGACAAAAGTTATTTATTTATTCTTAATAAATAACACAATAATATGTGCTTCTATTTAAAAAACCAAGTTGACCTTGAAATGACCTTGAAGGTCACGAGCAAGAGAAAATCAAAGAATGGCAGTTTTTAGACAATCAAACTGGTTATGATAGTCACCCTGCATATGTATATATTTTAATTTCAGTGTTTAAATTTGCATTTTGATCATTTTCATCTAACCACTCTTCGATCAATGTTCTCAACTAACAAACATGAGTAGTAACCCTAGAAAATGTACTTATTTAATTTCAGCCAATCTTAAAATGTATCTACCCTATGTTTTTTGTTTTCCTTTGTGTCAAAATACACCGAAAAATTCACCTCTGCTAAATTACTACACGACACAATGTTAAATGAAATTTCACCATAGATGACGTGTGAAATTATTTTGCTTTGCAATTAATGCTTGTGATGTGCTGTTTCCCCTTCCCCAAAAGCTGTTGGCATCAAATATTAGCTTTGTACAAAAAATGCAAGAGTGTGATTAAAAAAAATTCGATGTCTGTTAAAGGATATGGTTCTAAAAAATTGTAGACAAAAGAACACTTTAAATAAATATATATTTTTTTATTGTGCACATGGACGTTGTGATAAATTAGGTATCTTTCTATCCCTTTTAATTCCAAGCGAACGTGTTTTAAATACGACTGAGTAAAGTATACTGGATCTAAAATATATACAGGATGTCCCTAAATTGCTGGGACATAGAGCTACCACGTATTGTAAGGGCCAAAATAAGTTAATTTATATTAACAAAATGTACCTTAAATCCGTGGGAAGAGTTTAAAATTTACTTAAAATATCACATTTTCGTACGCTGTTCAGAAATGCGTGCAACAAATTTAATGAAATTTAGCAAAACTACATTTTAGAAGATTACCCCTGTCAGTAATCGAAGAAACCCAAAAGAAATTGTAGAAGGGTTTAAACCATCCTTAATATTTGATATTTTTTTTTTTACTTAGGGTGGGAATACGGTTCTAAGACTTTTTTATTGGGTAGGCTTACTCATTTTTGATCATTGTAAAAAACTCCATATTTTGCATAGTTTCGTAGGAAAAAAATATTTCCTCAAACACTGCAGCACTTTCGTTGAATGACAAAAAAAATTATTTGGAATTGTCTGGTTTGGTAAGACAAATTTATAGTGAATAAGGTCAATATTTATTTAGCCAGAATTTTACAATTTTTCATAAAGGACAATGGTAAAATTGATTATACTCAGGGGTGAATTCCCACCTGCTTATTTTGAATCTTTTTATGATGTGTCACCTTCTATTTTGACTATTTTAGAAAATATGCTTTTTCAGAATAAAACAAAATTGGAAACAAAACTAAACTGTAACAACTGTCAACATACGGTACGATAAGTTCAAATTCAAACTAATATCAGGCAAATTAAAACAGATAAACTCAATATAGTTTTTATTGTAAATAATTTAACAAACAATAAGAACTAAAGGTTCTAAGAGCAAAATAATTAAATTTGAACTGAAGGTTCTTAATGCATAATAATTAATTATTGAAAAATAGTGAACAAATAAAATATGAAATTTGATAAGAATAGTCATATGCAATTTAAGTAATTTGTACATATGATACATACAAGAAAGCTCGGCTCGGTTTCGATTTAGGTTACCGAATGACTAAGCTGAGGGGATGGTCCTGCGGGTTCTGGAGGTGATCTAGCCTGCTCAGGAGTTCCAACGAGGTGGTATCGAGTTTAGTTTCTGTAAAGGAATGTACCTTGTCACTATAAGGTCTCCAGATGCTCTAAGTTGCGGATTCGCCGACGTTCTAGGTCTGAGATACTAGATCTCTACTTGGACGACTTGGACTGACTACGTTCAACACTTTTCTGGTCTGTTGGCTTAGTTCGTCATCGTTAATACTCCAGTGCATGAAAATGAAACGTGAGCTACTTATATTGACGACACAAAAATGGTGGTTAAAAGACGTCTTTTACTACTCCTGAGGTTAAGTAAATTGCCAAAAGATTACTGATAACGAAGAAATGATATTATTCGCCAGAAATATACCTACGAGTAGGTCCTAGACAGTGGCGTAGCCACGGGGGGTTTTGGGGGTCAGAACCCTCCCATGGATGGTCCTCGCATCACCATTTCTGCTATAGTATTGGCGCTGATCGCTATTGACTGTTTGTTTTTATTCACTTTCTTGATGAAACCACCCCCCCATAGTTCTCAAAAATCCCTCCTCTGAAAAATGGCTGGCTACGCCACTGGCAACAATTATATCCACCTATGTGAAAGAAGCACTATTAAAACTAAATAAGTTAACAGAAGGTTAACTTACTCAGAAAATTTACTAAAACTTAATTGGTAGGGTTAAACACCAAAATTATAAAATTACTTGGAAATAGCTAATATTCATTGGCAAAAATAAGGTAATAAGGTAAATAATTACCCTTTCTTAATCACACCCCAGATTATTTTAAAAACAAAGAAATGGTATCACAAATAAATTTGGAGATTAATTAAATATTACTAACTTAAAAATGAGTTGCTTGAATTTGAAATAGTCAAATAGGAATTAATTGAATATTAAAGATCTGTGAATCAATTAAACATGGATTATTCCTGTCGGAAAATACCCCAAATTATAAATCGCTACATGAAGATTTGATTTGTCACTTAGAATTATTAAAAAGAAACGATTTCCACAAAAAAGCAAAAAAAAAACAACCTATGATTTCCAGAATGTTTTTTTTTTATTAAAATTAATGTGTCTGGATTACTATGGCCATTGACACAATTACAATTATTTAGATACTATAATTTAATCTACAACCAATGATTCATTTAAACTAACAAATAACAACTATATAAGATGGAACAAATGAGATCCTTTTAAAAAATGTATGAGTTTGAAAAATTTAAATTACATTAAACTAAATCCCAAACGGATTTTAAAAAAATTATCCACTGTCATAGTGGATCTCAACAATAAATTGATAACCTAAATCTCATACGCCGCGAAATAACCCTGTAGGTTACATAAAAAATTCCTCCCAAAAATAATAAAATAATGAAAAAACTTAAAAGGAAATAGAGTAGTAGAGATAGAAGTAGAGTAG